GCTATTTAAGGGAAAAGAATTCAGAGGTTGATTTGGTTCAGAAAGCATAGTATTTTTCCAGACTCACCTTTAGCACCTGAATTTCTGTTTGCATGCATATTTCTAGAAGCCCAAGTTGTTATTTCTTTACTGTAATAGTTTCTTCGTGGCAACAAGGTTCTTCCTCATACTGAAACTTGCCTAGGCTCAAGAGAGAATTTCCAAAAGGATCCAGCTCAAACATACCGAGGAAATGGTTCATCTTCCATGCAACTACTAGTATAATTTTTGCTCTTATTTCTCCTTTGTATTTTTCTGCCTTCAAATTCACAGTTTCCAAATGGATTTAGAATAAACTTTTAAGTTTACTTTAGGAACTATTTAGTTTATTTCAGTTCAGATGATAACTGCACTATTGGAGACGTTTCTTACTACAGATGCTTCTTCCTGAAGGAGACTTAATGTGTGTGCGCCTTTCAGATGAGGGTGCCGTGTGCCCACCCTGCTGTCTTCGATTTGAAAGGGTGCCGCCTAAAGTAAGCACCCATCTGACAACCTTATTCACTGAACGTGATCTCAGGGTCAGCCAGACAACCTCACCTCATTGAGCAGAAGTGAGGCACCTCACGTTCTAGATTCCTCCTCTGCAACAGGCATGACACCCTCTTGGAAGCGTTTCCATAGCCAAAATCCAAAGCTCAGGACCTCAGGTGCTGTTGGCAAAAAGCTGTGAGCCTGTGGTCATTGAACAAACTGATGCGCAGGCCCCCATCTCTTTTTTTTCTTTTAATCAACTGGTTGGAATGAGACAGTGCCTGCCTGGTGTACCGGGGTTTGTTTTCCTACAACCAGATAGTAGGTTCCATGTGGGGCAGGACCAGTGCATCTCAGTCATGGTTCCTGGGCGTCAGGTGGTATACCCAGCTCAGTAGGTGTGAATGCAGATCTCCCTTGGGTGCTGTCACTCGTGACCACGCCCAGAGCTCCCCGGTGACAGCATCACAGTGGGTGCAGGGGCCCTCAGCAGAGCCCAGATGTACCCTCAGGACCACCCTGTCCTCTTCCTTCATCGTGTTTCTCCAAATTGAGGTATTTGCTCCTGCTCTTTAGGGTTTGTACATCCTCCATCCCTCCTGAACGGTGTCAGGACAAACAATTCAGCAGTGTTTGTTGAGAACAACTGAATACAGTAAAAGATTTGGACTGAGGTGTGTCAGATGCTGGCTGTCTGGGGCTTCTTTCTAGAAATAAAGACATGCTTCTGCCTTAAACGGTCTTCAGTGGAGTTAGGTAGATAAGGCACAAGCAAAAAGAGGAAAATACACAAGTGTACACAGGTGTGATAGAGTCATCAAGATGAGTAATGTCAGTGCTCTTTGCGCACCGTTTTATACCTCAGCTTATACAAGGGGGGAAATCACGATGTAAGGTGTGCTCCGAGCTAATCAAATCATGAAACAAACTACACGGAGGATGGGATTATAGTGTCCTAAAACTGGTTTCTTTTTTCTTTTCTTCCTTTTTTTTTTTTGAAGTAGCACTGGCTTATGACACATAAGTTTCATGTTTACAACATTCTACTTCTGTACACACTACAGCAAGCTTGCCACCAAAAATTTCGTTTCCAGCCATCACCTCACAGTCGATCCCCTTCACCCGTTTCCCCCTCCCCCTGCCTCTCCCCCTCTGGTAACCACTACTCAGTTCTCTGTATCTATGTGTTTGTTTTTATTTGGTTTGGCTTGTTCATTTATTTGGGGGTTTTGTTTGTTTTTTTATAGTCCACGCATGAATGAAATCATACTGTATTTTCTTTCACCATCTGCCTTACTTCACTTAGCATAATACCCTCAAGGTCCATCTGTGTTGTCACAAATGGCAAGATTTCCTTCTTTGTGTGGTTGAGTAATATTCCTTTGTGTGTGTGTGTGTGTGTGTGTGTATATAATCTTCTTTATCCATTCATCTGTCGATGGACACTTAAGGTGGTTTCCATATCTCAGCTATTGTAAGTAATACTGCTATGAACGTTAGGGTGCAGATATTTTCTGGAATTAGTGTTTTTATTTTCTTTGGATAAATACCCAGGAGTGGAATTGCCGGTCCATAAGTAGTTGTTCTGTTTTTAATTTTTTGAGGAGTATCCATACTGTTTTCCACAGTGGCTGCACCAATTTACATTCCCATCAACAGTGTACAAGGGCTCCCTTTTCTCCACATCCTCATCAACACTTGTTATTTCTTGCCTTTGATAACAGCCATCCTAACAGGTGTGAGGTGGTATCTCATTGTGGTTTTTGTTTGCATTTCTCTGATGGTTAGCAGTGGTGAGCATCTTTTCATGTGCCTGTTGGCCACCTGTACGTCTTCTTTGGAAAAATGTCTCTTTGGCACTTCTGCCCATTTTTAAATCATGTTGTTTGTTTTTTTGTTATTGAGTCATGTGAGTTCTTTATATAGTGTGGATATTAACCCCTTATCAGATATATGATTTACAATTACCTTCTCCCATTTGGCATGTTGTCTTCTTGTTTTGTTGCTGGTTTCCTTTGCTGTGCAGAATCTTTTTAGCTTGATGCAGTCCCACTTGTTTATTTTTGCTTTTGTTTCCCTTGCCCGAGGAGACATATCTAGAAAGATACTGCTAGGACGAATGTCAAGGAGCATACTGCCTACGTTTTCTTCTAGGAATTCTGTGGTTTCAGGTCTTGCGTTCAAGTCTTTAATCCATTTTGAGTTTGATTTTTATGTAGGGTGTGAGGTAATGGTCCAGTGTGATTATTTTCCATGTAGCTGTCCAGCTTCCCCAACACCAGTTATGGAAGAGGCCATCCTTTCTCCACCGTATGTTCTTTGCTCCTTTGTCATACATCAGTTGTCCGTATGTGTGTGGGTTTGTTTCTGGGCTCTCAATTCTGTTCCGTGGAATTGGCTTCTTAGAAGAGGTTGGGTTCAATCTGAGGCTTCAAAGAAAAAAAAGTGGGGATTACACAAAGGTCTGAAAAGCGAAAACTACGTGGGGATTTGACTGGAGTGGAGGGTTTGACATCAAGAAGAACAAGGAAGAGATGGGACGCATTGCAAAGGGCTCGGAGGCCAGATTCAGGGTTGACTGAGGGCGGGAACAGGATGTGAGTCATCAGGTGTGCCATCCAGGTGACGGGAGAGGACAGGCCAGGGCAGGGGAGGAAAAGGCATGATGCTTCTGAGACATCCAAGGGCACGTGGGTCACTCATCCACCCTGGCTCTGGCTCAGCCGCAATCCCGATGCCCAGGCTCTGGTCCGAGGACCACCTCTGACGTGGCCTGGATCTCAGCCCTGCTGCACATTAGATCAGGCTGATGCTCTGTCACTACTGCTAACGTTTTCCTCCAGTATTTTTTACATCAAATTTTTTACATCATCATGAAGTGAATTTCAGTAAGACACTGAGAAAAGGGTTTTTACTTGTGTCGATTTTAAAAATGCACGTGAGAGTTGTGAGTTGTTTTATTTGGGGCAAAATGAGGACTACAGCCCGGGAGACAGCATCCCAGATAGCTCTGAGAAACTGCTCCAAAGAGGCAGCGGGGGAAGGTCAGTATATATGTGATTTTGGTGAAGGGGGAGTACATGCAACTGAGCACATACTATTTTGCAGAAGGTTTCTGCTAGTCACGAGGAGCAGTCGTCACCATGAAGGATTTTAGTGCTTTTCTAGATACGAACAGATAGAAGAATTGGGCTCATAAAATCAGCTTCTGAAAACATCCAACTCTCTGAAGACCTGTTCTGCCAGTTTTTCCTGGAGCACAGAGTGCCTTGTTTTTGCTGTCCACCTGAACTCCTTTCAGGGGATGTTGACAGTCAGCAGCTGCAGCAGCACAAGAGTTAATCCTTGTAGAGGTAGATGGCAAGGGCCAATGGAAAATGCCAGTTTGTAGTTGACACTTGGCTTGACACAGCTCCGACTTGCTGCATTTTTCATAAATCATTTTAAGTACATTTTAATTAAACGTCGTTGGTGCCTTTCCTGAGATCCAGTTGTTCAAAGGCACTTAACAGGATAGCTTCATCTTTTCACCATCCCCCCCTCAACCCCCGCCCCCGGCCCACAAGAACCCAAGTTACTGGGGTGGCAGACAGATGAGAAATGAAGAGTGAATTGCTGTTTCGTGCCCATGTCGAGCAGAAGGGGATCCCAGTGGCCAAAATAAAAACACTTCTGTAAACACAAATATCCTCAGCTGTAGCAGGAAACAATGAAGAGAAATCAAAGTAAATTGCCTTTTAACTGCTTTTCTTAAAGTGACCATAAGGGTGGGGGTGGGGTGACATTTCTTTTTAATATTTATTTATTTACTTACTTATTTGGCTGCACCGGGTCTTACTTGCGGCATGTGGGCTCTAGTTCCCCAACCAGGGATCGAACCCAGGCCCCTGCATTGGGAGCACGGAGTCTTAACCACTGGACCACCGGCGAAGTCCGGGGGGTGACTTTCTATAATTGTATTTTGTTATTGTCCTGCGACTCTTTATCTAGTGGGAGTGAATGGTCTACAAGTGGAATTCTTAGATCTTGTTAATTTTATGGCATAACAGGCAGTGGTATATTTAGGGACAAAACCTTTTAAATTTTAGTCATACAAAATTCTGTGCATGATTTGGAAGATCCTTTTACAACTCCTTTCTCTATATATTATCTTAAGAGCCCCAGTTTGAAGAAGTCCTACTACAACGTGTGGGAAATACACCAACTGAACCAAAGATTAAGTCAAAAGTCTGGCAGAAATCAACTGCTAGCCTTTACTCCTTAGAGAGGCTCTCAAATGTCCAGGGAAACATTCACATCCAGGGAATTTTCACATTTTACTTCCATTGCACAAACTTGAAATCCATGAATTCAGAGGACTATTCACCATCAGTAACAATTCAGAAGATGCTCTGGGAAATGTTCACTGATGCCGGTCAGGTCTCAGGTGGTTAAGTACCAGAGCTGGAAGGAACCCTGGACACTCACCCCGGGCTCAGGGGTGGGGACAGATGGTATATCTTTCCTTAGTCGCGGTCAGGAAGTGGTCAGGAAGGTACTCCCACGTGTCCTTGGGAAGGCGGTCTCTGATCTTTCAACAACTTCTGATGTCTTTTTTGTTAACCACACGTCATTGTTTCTACTTAACCCGTTATTACCATCTGAATAGATTCACCCACCCCCTCCACCCTGTCTGCATCGTGTTTGAAATCGGGCGCCTCCTACCCTCTAACCAGGGCTGAAGGCTTCATATTTGGTTTGATTTTCAGTTCCTTCCAGCCCTTTCGATCAGAGATGATCTGTATCTGTATCACCTTCTCATATTAGATGTCCCTGCCGAGAGGACAGACCACTTCTGCTTCAAATTATTACATCCATACACAGGGAAGGGGGGTGGCTCATCTCCCCACCGAAGCCCCCAGGTTTCTGGGCTATAGTCTAGAGTCCCTCCCCACCTCGGCAGACACCCCTCCCCCTTCATCACAGACTCAAGTCTTCTTGCCCCTTTCCCGTCCTGCTAGACGGTCGGGGTGGACTTTGAGGTGCCCTCCACTCCACCAAATGCAAGGCTGGCAAGGACTGGGCCAGAGTGCACTGTGGTTTTCAAACCAGACTCAGCTCTCAGGGGTCCCCTCCTGTGGCTCCTCTGGGGTCTTCTGCACTCCCACCTCCTCCTGTGAGCAGCTCAAGGGCCTGCAGTGCTGGCTGGGGAGGGGGACTGTGTGGAGGTGTGGAGGTGCTCCCCCCTCTGTGCAGAAGCTCACGGGCACACAGGCTGGGAGAAAGGCCCACCATGACTTTACTCCAGATCCGGAACAGTGGACCCCGAGCTGTCCAGGCAGGGACTCCGGCCGAGTCTCCCTGATCCAGGTCACATCCACTCTCCCCAGGGCCGGAGCCCCACCTCAGCCACAGGGACCCCCGACCAGGAGAGCTCCGCCGGGGCACTCAGAGCCCCGCCCGCTCATCACACACTCTGCTGCCCCCACCCCTCGAGAAGTGGTCCTTTGCTCACTGGTTAACCAGCGCTGTGTCTTCCTGTGTCGGTTGCAGGCTGGGCCTCACAGCCCCCTGCTCACTTCATCCCACAAATATGCAGGGGCTGGGCTGCCCCACAGGCGCTGGGGAAACCCGGCCAACAAGCCAGATCTGCCCTGTGGGTCCCACGTTTGGAGGGAGAGACAGACGATAAAACAGAAAGACAAATACATGTCAAACCTGTCAAGGGAGGGCAGAGGCCTGGGCCCCCGCTCCCCCACCGTGACAGATCAGGACCCTCAGGACTCTGACCTGCTGGGGAGACATGTGTCCAGGAAGAACGCGGGAAGCTGCTGGCCCGTGGCTGCCCCGTCCCCCTGGGCTCGTGCAGGCCCTGCACACCTGCCCCCCAGCCCAGAGGCGTCCCCAGAGCGGTCCCAAGCACGTCTGGCTTTCTTTTCAGCTTCCTGGAGAGAATTGACAGCGTCAGCCTGGTGGACTACACGCCCACAGACCAGGTAGGTGGGGCTGGGCCGCGACCACCGCCCGAACCGGAGGACACTGTACCCTCGGGGCCCAGCCATGCCCCTCCGGGAGGCTCCCTGCGCACCCCCCCCCCCACCGAGGTCTGAGCTCCTGGTCGTCCCCTGGAGTCCATCCCTCTACGAGGCCGACCCTGGGAGCTCAGTTACCCTGGCCTTGAGCCTGCCCCTCGAGTCTGTCCTCACACTTCTCATCGGGCTCACAGGGGCCACCGCCCTCCACTTCCAGAGTCACTGCGGTGGCCAGTTTACATCCTAATAGATCCGGTGACCAGGAAAGAAACCCTGACACCTGACAGGCCAGCAGAGGTGTCAGCCTTGTGAAACTGTACGGCTTTCTCATCATCTTTTACCTTAGAGACTAGAACTGTGAGAGGAGAGAGAGTGAGTCTGATCCGGAGCGGCAGCTGGCGGGACGGGCGCCTCTCCCCAGACACTGGCGGGCTGTTGGGGACATGGTGTCAGTCGGGAACACTCAGGAGTGATTACAAGAAGCTTCTAAAGGAAATAAAAGCAGAGCCATCAAGTCTCCAAGACCAAACCAGTACATTAACTGTGACTTTCTCCGGGGAGCGAGACCAAGAGCATTTGTCTCTTGGTCTCTTAAGTCCTGTTTCTTTTCCGATGGAGAGAATTGCTGTTTGGGACACTCGCAGCCTGTGGCTGCCCCGGGCTGTCCTCCTGAGGACAGGGGTCACTTGTTTGCTTCTCTCTTCTCTGCCCCCAGGACCTCCTCAGGTGCAGAGTTCTGACGTCAGGGATTTTCGAGACACGATTCCAAGTGGACAAGGTCAACTTCCAGTAAGCGTGTGGGCAGGACCCTCCCGCGGGCCCCCCAGGCCTGGGGTCGGGGAAGTGGCCTGGATACCGGGCGATCCCGGGCCTGCAGTGCTGCAAACCCGTGTGCGCGCCCGCAAGCCCAGGTGTCAGTGCAGGGAAGGGAGGCACTCGAGCCCGGTGGCCTCAGTCAGGTGCAGAGGAGGAGGACGCAGGCAAGGGGCTGCCCAGGGGGAAAGAGAGCCAAGCAGCCACTGATCACAGGGCTAAGGGCCGGGATCAGAGAAATACCGGGGTGTGGACACCCATCTGGGCCAGACTGGGGAGGCCCCGCTGGGCCCGTCTGCAAGGTCACCTGGGGAGCAGAGCCACGGGCCAGGGGGAGGGAGAGAGCAAAGGGCAGATGTCCTCCCGCCCCCGGCTAACGGCACCCCCCAACCCATGTTCTCCCCCAGCATGTTTGACGTCGGAGGCCAGAGGGACGAGAGAAGAAAATGGATCCAGTGCTTCAATGGTGATTTCTCCCTCTCTCAATAAAATGGGGACAAACCCACACTCCCTCCTGCTGCTGTGTTTCAGTAGCTTTCAATCCACTCACCTATCAAGTGTCTTAGTCCCATGAATACGGAAGTTAAGCATCCTGGGGTCACAATGTCTCTGCTAGTTTGGGGGCCCCGGGTCAATTCTGCGATCACAAGGGAGCTCTCCCCGGACATGGGTGGCTGTAACTGCTCTAAATAACCAAGGTGCCTCCCCCACTCCTCCCACCCAGACGTCACCGCCATCATCTACGTGGCCGCCTGCAGCAGCTACAACATGGTGATCCGGGAAGATAACAATACCAACCGCCTGCGCGAGTCCCTGGACCTTTTCGAGAGCATCTGGAACAACAGGTGACAAGACAGTAAACTCAGTCTCCCGCTGCGTTTAAAAATGCCTCTGGGCTTGCTTTCATCTTTGTTCTCTGATGGAGTCCTTCCTTGTGATAAATCTTCTAAAACCATAAGAAGCTTCTTTCAGTCCATTTAATGTAGAGACTTACTTAAGATGGGGGTGTGAAGCTGATGGGACTTTGTCACAAAAATCCAGAACTCTGATTTGGAAGCCTAAGGTTATATACGGTTCAAAATTGGTTTCGTTTGGTTTTTAAAATGCAAAAAGCGCCCATTTAAAACATCCGCTCATGACTCGATGACCCCTGAGCCCCTCCCTCGACTTGTCAGCGAAGTGACAGGTCCCCACCCAGACCCTCAACACCCAGCTCCTCGCCCAAGAGCCGCAGATGCCCTGCGTGACCATCTATTCTGTTTCTGTTGTTGTGAGAGCTTTAACTTCTCCCGCTTTTCTGACCCTTTACTAGTAAATTACACCACACAAATCCGAGCGTTATTTATTCCTGACGTGAACCTTGGCTTTGGCGCCAGTACAGCCCTGTGGAGCTGAATCCTCCTCCTGAGAGTTTATCCTCATGAGGGAGTCTTGTGTGCAGATGGAGTGGGGGCTGAGGTTCCGGGGCACCAAATAATCCCAAGCCCAGCGCCTCGTCCGGAGGGCAGCACGTTGTCCTCTCCATGGATAATGCCTGCGACAGAGGTGCCTGCTCAGGCAGTGCACCCACACCTGTGTGTGTTTCCTGCTCCTTTCCAGGTGGTTACGGACCATTTCCATCATCTTGTTCTTGAACAAACAGGATATGCTGGCAGAAAAAGTGTTGGCAGGGAAATCAAAGATTGAAGACTATTTCCCAGAGTACGCAAATTATACTGTTCCTGAAGACGGTAAGATTCCAGAATAAGTATCTTGTGATTAAGGGAAAGAATTGTCTTTCCATAGCCCTGTAACTGTAATTCCTACGGTTCTGATGAATCTAGGAAACTCAGTTAATTTAGATCAATCTTCTTGACTCCTGCCCCACCCTTAGCTTTTAGAGTATTAAAATGTCCTTAGGGTCCCATTTGTAAAATTTGCAGAGTTCAGCTTGGTCCACGCTGAGCAGGAGGAGGAAGGGCAGCTTGACGTGAATGCGGGGTTTGCAGGGAAGCTCTGCCTCCCGGGGCCCCGTGTCGGTCGGTCCGCCTGGACCTGCCTGCTGACCCCGCACAGTGACTGACCGGGAAGTCGCTGTCTGAGTCACTCCGGCCAGGCCCGCAGGGACGGGGCAGCAGTGACCTCTGTCCCGAGCTGCCCGCTGCCGACCACCGTGTTGAGGCCTCTGTCCCCAGCGATGACTTTGGCCACAGCATGGTGACTTCATCGGGTGACCAGCCGTCCCGGGAGGCTGTGAGACTCCTGGGACGTGGGAATTTCAGTGCTGAAGCCGGGAAGGTCCCGTCTGGGAAACCTGGAGGAGTCGGGACCCATTTCCAGTGGCTGCTCTTGGGTTTTGAGTTTCCTGGGCCACCAGAGTCTCCAAGGAGGGATTTGCTTATGGCAAAATAACCCCACTCCTCAAGGTTTAATCCCAAACTGGATAAAGCAGGATGAAGGGGGCTCTCCCAGAAACTTCAGTTAGAAGTTAAGAAACCTATCGCGGTCTTTGCACCAACCTCAGCCAGCCTGGCGGGGTGCTTCCTGGGCCCGGGTAGTAGCCGCCGTCTGGGAGCACCCCAGCCCCCATGCCACCCACCCCGCAGCAGCCGGGCCTGCTCTGACCTTTCCTGGGAACCAGCCCCTCGCTCCCCTTACCCTGTCTGGTCAGCATTTTTCCTGGGAAGTCTCAGGATGAGCTGGCAGCCCTCCCTGCAGGACGGTTCACCAGGTGCAGGCGACTGGGGGCCGGCTCACCAGTCAGTGAGACGCTTCATCTGACTTGAGTAGAAGCTGTTCACCCGGCACCAAACATAAACCACTGTTGAAGTCAAAGTGACCTGGGAGGAGGAGAGAGACGAAGGTCACGTTTCAGTCTTTGGCTGCATGGCCCGTGTGCTTCCGTGCTGTGTGCACAGCCTCCATCCAGCTGTATCTGTGTGTCATGTCATTTAAATAAAATTCCCTTTGATTTTCTACAGCGACACCAGATGCGGGAGAAGATCCCAAAGTCACAAGAGCTAAGTTCTTCATCCGGGATCTGTTCTTGGTGAGCATTTTCCTTGCCCTTTGCTGTCCTGCCACCTTAGGGTGACCCCGCTCTTTGCACTTAGTCTCTCACGAGTTTATTTAATCTCCCCCAAACAATGAGGGATGGGAAGGTGTCGTTCCCTCATCTCATAGCTGAGCACACGGAGGCTCAGAGAGGTCGGACTTCCGACCTCAGGTCACACAACTTCCCAGCAGGAACGGGCAGGGTACAGGCCCCGGGGCAGCACTGAGATGACCGACCCCGCTTGCATGTTGCCTTTCAGTGGGATGCGGGGTGTGGCCTCTCCTCAGCTCAAGGGTCACATGGAAACGGACCTGCTCAGGTTCAGACGTTCCCTTTTTCAAAAAACTCTGTATTTTGAGATGATTTCAAACTTACATAAAAAGTGAGAAATGGGGGGCTCAGTCCTGACACAGACGCCCCCACCCCCCGCCCTCGGTCCCCCGGAGCTGACGGGCTGCATCTCCGCAGCGCATCAGCACGGCCACGGGCGACGGCAAGCACTACTGCTACCCGCACTTCACGTGTGCCGTAGACACAGAGAACATCCGCCGCGTCTTCAACGACTGCAGGGACATCATCCAGCGGATGCACCTCAAGCAGTACGAGCTCCTGTGAGCCCCCCAGCCCCGCCCCGCGCCCCAGGGCCACCCGGCACAGAGCAGCGAGTCCCCGTCCATTGTGCGGGCTCTCGTGACCTCCGGGCCCCCGGCCACCTCTGCCCCCACCACCCCGCCCCGGTCTGTGTGGGGGTGAGGGGGCCCCGACTCGTGGAGAACGTGGCAGATGGGAAGACGCACTGGCCCAAGCGTGATGGGGCGTCGCCCTTCTGACCCCATGGGCCCACGACTCAGAGGAGCCCCCAAGCCGCAGTGGGGACAGAACCCCCTTCAGTCCTGTCTCCAGGGGCGGCTGGCCTCAGCCTCTGTGTCAGAGCCCCTCTGACCATCCACACATCAGCAGAAACCCCCCCCTCGCTCTGGCCACACGTGTCCCATCCACGATGGTCCCCAGACTCACGCTGCTCAGGCAACGGCCTCCTTTCATAGGTTCTTTTTGTTGTTTTACTGCTGGTTTATTACACTGTACAGACCACGAAATGTAATATTATTTTGTATAACTACTCAAGGAAAATCCCTGTAGATCTCCGTGCCTTGACTATGGCTGTCCCTGTAAAAGAAACGTGTTTCTGTTGTGCTGAACAGCTGTCATCATACTGCCGCTCGCTCTGAGAAAGGGAGTGAATGGTGTATAGAGAGTTTAGGGTATTTTATCAGGTTGGTACTTTTTAACAATACTCCTTGATAAATATATATATATATATATATAAATTTATATAAATATAAATGATACACGTTAATCATCCACATTTCACAAAATGCCACACCCACATCACAAGCTTCTTTCGGGGAACCAAGGATGTTTTTTTCTCTCCAGAAAACATGTTTCTCAATTATCTGGCAATTTAAAGACTTTTCCAAGGTCACCCATTCCCTTAGTCAAAGTTTTTGAACCACTTACTTGACCACAGGTCTCATCGTAAACAAAGAGTGAGAAAAAGACAAGGGTTCCAGGCTTGTTCCAGGCTTGGAGAATCAAAGGATAGAATGTGATTTGCCTTTTGAAGAAGGAACATTACAAAGCCTTTATTTGAAATACACAGTCAAAATACATGGCTGTTTCTCAACCTTGAAAGACTTGCAAATGCAGCCTCATGAGTTACATCCAGCTCAAGACCTAGAAAGCCATTCTCGTCTATCCACGGCCTTGAGGGCGGTTTTCTCAGGTCAAAGACAATCTTTTAAATTGTCCAAGCTTATATTTCAACAACACAAATGCAGAGATGGGGCAGCCTAGCCTGCGTTACTGCATTAACTTCCATTTCGTCTTTTAGTCTTTAATATTTTTAAGTTTACTCTATAAAGCAGCATCTTATAATCCTTTGTAAACTCATCCACATTTAAATACTGCTCTTCCATGAAATAAAGGATGACAACTTTACAGACAATGCACCATCCCATTTTTTTATTTCATTATCATCGAATTCCTGTTCCTGTCATCCTTGATTATTTCATAAAACTCTCAGTTGAACTGAGACATATAAAGTGGAAATGATTTTCAGTTTCCATTGCATTTTCAAAGTAAAACATGAAAATCTGAAGAGCTACAGCCCCACACATACACCCAAAAAAATGAAATTGTATATTTTTACATGCATTATTATTCAACAATTCCACTGTAACTAAACTTCCTATTTAAAAGTCTGATTGAAGAGCCAGACTCTTAGGGAAAAAAACACAAAAAGAATACATTTTATCCGGTTTAAAATTACCACGGCATATTTATTTTTAAATACAAAAAGCCTCTTCCTGGTCCATTTTTCAAGTTTCTTTTGATCACTGACAGGCATTCAATTCAAATTTAACAACTTGGTCTGCTGGAGAGAAAATTACACTCATCTAAAAATCTGATTCCAGGGACTTCCCTGGCGGTACAGTGGTCAAGACTGTGCTTCCACTGCAGGGGGCACAGGTTTGATCCCTGGTCAGGGAACTAAGATCCTGCATGCCGCGTGGTGCAGCCAAAAAAAATTAATTAATTAATAAAAATCTGATTCCATTAATTTAGCACAGAAATACAAAAGCCTTGAGAACAATGTATTCCTGCTTGTAGCATCTGTATTTTATTTTAAGTATACAGCTTTACAAAATATAAGAACTTGAAAACTACTCATAGGAGGACAGAAGCAAACCCAGCATTTGTGAACAGCTAACCCTCCGTCTTGGGGAAGGAAGGCTGTCTAGTGCATGCAAGTGATGACATTCATAGCTTTTACACACTGTACAGACACAATCTTTGATTACACATATATCTGATAAAACGAGAAGACAGACCAGCTGTAGAGACAAGTCCCATTTTCACAGCGTGAGAACAGCACAATCAACTATTGATTCTGCAGTACTCTGCACCAGCAACCCAGATCCTACGAGCTGTGCCCATGGCCCACTTTGGTCTCGCCCTCCGTAAGCACTGCCCGAAGTTCAGTTTCGTTGGCTTCGGGACTTACTACTAAGTGCAGAACATCTCCTGCTACTCACGTGGTCTTAAATTTTCTGAGCATGTTCCAACCGAAATGAAAAGGTGAGGCTACAAGCCCAGCGTGGACTAACGTGAGGAGCACAAGGCCCCCGGCCGCCGTGCAGTACGTGGTCAGAACCATGTCCTCGCAGGGCAGGTAGCACTTGGCAAGGGCGTACTCTGTGGCCGTGACGCTGCCCTGGAGAGTAAGCGAGACCGTTAGCTGCCGTGACAGCGCCAACCCACAGACCCAACCGAGGAAAGGCAGCCGCTGGGCGTGAGGCACCTGAGACCGAGGGCACAGCCTTTAGCCACCCCCCGCCCCCAAGCACTGGGTCCCAGTGTGCCGAGTGCACACGACCTGGAGCTGACCTCCACTGAATCCAGCCCCTGGCACGGGGGGTTCCTCTAAAACCCGGGGGGGCACATGGCAGAGGGGTTCAGAGAGGCCTGGAGACTTAGCATCAGTGGTCATCCAGGAACAAGCAGGACACGGCTGTTGTTCACGCCACTTGATGCTGAAATAAGCAACTGTTACCAGAAATACGTGTGCTGGAGGCATCTCAGTGGGCTTTTGTTTTCTTTTTTTTTTTGGTAGATGTTTTTGCTATGTGGAATGACAGTGGGGAACTTTGTTTTACTTTGAATTTGAAAACAGGAGGTTTTCCCCATCTTGTTATGAAGTAAAAGCCCCTGACATGAAAGCACTGTGACCTGGATGCTGGACTCATGGGTCAAAGAGAGGAGCTGAAGCTTCAGGTCATCACTAATTAACATCTTTAATAAATGTGCAAGAGCTGTAGCATTTTTCTGTCAGAACAAATGGGCGTGTTTGGAAAATAACACAAGATGACCCTGCTTCCTTAGAAAACGGAATAGGCAGAGCTGGTACCCAAGGGCACTGCAGGGACGCAGGATGAGACGCCTCGAGGTGTCCCTGCGCAGCCGCAACTGTCCCCTGAGAGGTGTTCCTGCTGGTACGCCAGGGGGGTGGTGTTTACAGCTTCTGTGTATTTTCACAGATTGCAGCAATTCAGTAGTTGATCACTGTGTTGATTTAAATACGTATGAAAGCTTTGAGACGAAAATAAAGGTTCACGTACCATGATGAAACTGGGGTTGTTTCTGTTCCTCCAACTGAAAGATGGCACGCTGACCTCCAGGACGCCGGCCCCGTGCAGGACCTCGCAGGCGCTGTGCGTGTGGCCACTGAGGACCAGGCGCGGCCGGAGCCACCACAGCAGCTGCAGTGACAGCAGAGGTGGGGAGAGTGCAGCCGGGGCCCAGGGCCACCACCACAGACACCACCCCGCGGCCACTGCCCCGTGGCTACCATGAAGCCCCCGCAGGTGGGCGGGCCCACTTCCCTCGGCCCTGAAAACCCTTTGGGCTGTTTAGACTCCACCAAAAGTTGAGCTCAGGCTCTTAGGGAGAATCTATTCTTCTCATCCCAGATTTCATATTTTCAATTATATTTTCTCTTTATAAATATTTTTATAAATCTACTTCATAAATGTACTTGCTCTGCATATTACATACACCATATAGTATATCAATATTCGTGTGAATATATACATACAGATACACACACTTAAGAAAGCACATTCTAATTAAGTCCCTAAAAACTTAACTCTAAGTGTCATTCACCTTCCCAAATACGTGGTGATAGGAAAACAGAATAAAGAATAGCTGAGAACGTTATTAACTAGATCTTAGGGAACAGAAGTGGGTTTCCTGGGGAGGGGGCGGGGGGGCGGGAGGATGAAACAGCTGTGCAGGCACTGCCTGTCCCACCCCGCGTCCCTGTGTCCCCAACGTCCCTGCGTCCCAGAGGCAGCAAACCTTCCTCGAGGCCTCCTGGGAGAGCGCATCATAGCGCTCCTTGAAGGGGGTGTACTTCTCGTCGGGGGGTGCCGCGTCCTCCCCGGAGCAGTTGGCGTCATTTCTCCGGTAAAGCGGGAAGTGCTGTTCAGGGTCAGAGAGGAGTCAGGGGATCATAAGACCCTGGACGCTTCCTCCAAACACGGGCGGGGACCCCCTCACCTGCAGGAGGATGGGGGCCGAGGCCGGCAGCCGCTGCCTGTCTCCACACTCTTGGGGGCGATGCTCCTGCTGGTCAGAGGTCAGGCCCTTAACTCACACCCCTGCCTTCACTGGACGGTGGACAGTGGGGAGGGAAGGCAGGGAGGCCATGCCCTGGGGGTGGGAGGGTGTGGGGTCCTACCTCCCGGGAGCAGTTCAGCCGGTGAGAGATTTCCAGGAGCTCAGCCTCTGCTCCAGAGCAGATATCACAGCTGTCCCCTTCCAGTGCGATGCTGTTAACCATCACGAAACTGAGGCAAGGGCAGGAGATCAGCCATGGGCCACCTGTGCTGTCCACTGGCGACTGTGTCCCTGGGACACAGAAGCTACACACCCACAGGGAAGAAACCCCAGCACAGCTGTAAGTCTCAGCCTGGCTGTGCTGTGTCTGCAGGTGCAGACGATGCTAAGAGGACAAAACAGCATCTCTGGGCAAGTCCAAGACGCGGTAAAGGCTTTTCCACCCTGAACGTGTGAAAGGTCCCAGGTGACCGCCACGCTGAGCGTCTGACCTTGTATGCCTGGATCTCGGCTGTAAAATGGGGAGACGAAGACCCACCCACACACCCTGGCTCCCTTTGGAGATGACGTGAAATAAGACAACAGAGCAAAGCCTAAAATCTGGTGGGGGTAGGTGTGCTGCAGAGCTAGCTGGGCCAGAGGAGCCCAAACTGGGATTGACAACAAGGCCAGCTGTGGTTCCCTGGGCCCCCTTCCCTCTAGTGCACTGTCAGAGACGCCCACTACATGTGCCTTCCTCTCCCACATGCACGTCCACCGGGCACGAAGAAGGTGCCGGACGCTTAAAGAATTTAGAGATAAGAAGCCGATTAATCCAATGATCTGGGACATGACCATCGTGTTTAAACTTTCTTAAGGAAATTCAAGTTCTAGGGGTCTTCATAAGAATTCCCAGATGATACTCACTTAATTCCTTTCCAAGAAAACAGCTTTTCAGGGTTGAAAACTTTCTCAAATCGTTTTATTTTGTATGTGTTCATCCTATGTTCAATTGTAAAAAGAAACAGATTTCAGAACGAGCCATTTTAAGACATCTTAAGAAGTATCATGAACACAGAAAGTAACTTCCGGGACCTGAGGGCCTGACCAGCGCCCTTCGTTCTGAGCTCCCATGGGCCCCAGGTGGGAGAGGTGCCACCCCCACTGCCCCACCACTGACCAGCCCAGGGCCTGGAGCCTGGGGCTAGCGGCTTCGTCCCCAGGGCCCCAGCTTCCTCACTGGTACAGTGGGTACAGTAATAAAAAATACTAGGTAAAATAAGAGATTAAATGTACAGAAGTACAGTGCTTCTAACAGGCTGGCACATCAGAAGCACCGTGTGAACATTAGCTAGTAAAGCCCAAATCGTCGTTTTCTGATTCCCGGAAGAAAACTGGCCACGAAATGTAAGTTTCAAGTTAGAATCACTCCAAGGCACATACAGATCAGCCGTGGGGCAAGCGTATGATGTGCAGGACAGCAGTCCCGCCCATGTGGAGCCCTGCCACGTGACCGCACAGGTAAGGCCCCCCAGGCTGGGCAGGCAGGAAGGCACAGCCGTGCACAGGGGCCTCCTCTGACCACTCACTGGTAGTGGAAGCCGATGTCATGGTTACCGGCCACGGCCCTCAACTGCACATGGGGCGGGTGTCGGAAGATCTTCCAGAAGCGCCCCACGTCGTCCGCCCAGGCCTGTGGGGAGAAGCACCACCGCTGTGGCCCGGGAGCCTTCCCTGCCCTGTTTTGAGGGTGAGGAGGTCACTCCCGCCCAGATCAGACGTTCATAAAGCCATCGTGTGGAATTTCTAACATTCTTTTCCCAAAACTAACTTAATATTTTAACTATTTAATTTGATGCCAAATTTTAATGAAATGGTGTTATCTCCCCAAACCACCTGCTTCATACACCACTTCAAGGTCACCTGACGGCCACGCACAGACCCCAGGCTGAGTGAGGATGCCCGCAGATCTGAGCATGTCCTAAGAACGGGCTGTGCAGAAACGTCAAGTACACTGTGTGTCCCCCCAGGATGAGGACTTCTCTCTCGAGACTTCTCTGACTTTAACTGTTAAAGCTTGAGAATGATGCTTGTTTAGTTCTTATTTTTATTAAGCCTAAAAACATAAACTGGACAAACACTCCAGGCTGGACAATACCTAGTTGAATAGTAGTCAACTTTATCCTAAAAGTTTTAAATTTGGCCCAACCAAGGGAAATAAGCTGGATAGAGATTCCTTCAACACATTTACAAAGACTTTAACAAATAATACTTAAGGTTAGAATAACATAAAATTAGAAAAAGATAAAATGTTCCCTTTGACTTGCAAAACCAACATCTATATCCAACCTCATTTTATAACTAGCTGCTTTTTACATACAGCATTTCCATTGTTTCATAATTAGTTCTGCACTAGATCACAACAAACACTGCAACCCTATGAACACTGGGTTTCTGTCATACCTGGACCAAGACTTTCTTTGTACAGCTTAGGACCGTCCTGCGAAATTTCAATGAATTTTTTAAAATATCTTCCAGGGGACTTCCCTGGTGGTCCAGTTGGTTAAGACTGCACTCCCAATGCAGGGGGCGCGGGTTCGATCTCTGGTTGGGGAACTAAGATCCCACATGCTGCATGGCGCAGCCAAAAAAAAAAAATCTTCCAAAACCATTAGTGACAGAACATTTTTAACTAAGCAGCGAGAACAGCTTTTTTTTTTTTTTCCCATTAATCCCAGGAATGTAGTAGGCAAAGCATTCTGACAGCCAAGGTGAGAAGGGCCTTTCTCTCTGGTTTGTGGAAAGGTTCACATCACCCGGTCTCGGGCCCGAGGGCAAAGGAAACTCCCACCAGGGCCTGGCTCTCCCCACCTTCCTCAGAGGAAGGAAAATGAGAGGAAAGCAAGTAACCTGTACATAGCACAATCTCATGATGTAGCCATTCTATTTTAAGAGCCTAAAGTCAAGCTACGTTTCAGCATGTACTCTGTAACTCCGGGGACAACTGAAACGCTTCCCTCTTGCTTACTTTTCCCCTTCCGAGAGCTTCGTGGGAAGCGTCTGGCTAACCCAGGTGTCTCCTACACAGGCAAACCTAAGATGAGCCGACCTAACTCACAACTGTCATTGACACAGAGCCCAAAGACCTCAGGACAGGCCACACACTGTTCATGCTGGAACCTCCGACCCACGGCCAGGGCTCCACGACTCCCTGGGCTTCCTATGCTGGACCTCAGCACAGGACCAGGGTGCCAGGGTTGCAGGGTCCCACCTGGGAGGAGCTCCACTTCCCTTCGTCAAAGACGTCTCCCAGGATGAAGACGACTTCAGGCTGCAGCAGCCACAGTGCCGTCTGGAAGGCTCGCTCCATCTGCCACTCCCTGGAGGCCAAGAGAAAAGGAAGGGTCAATCCACTTCTCGGGCAGAGCTACATCCAGCGGACGGTCTGACAGGCCATTTAAAATGTGAACTAAAAGGTCCCCGCTCCTTCTTCCATGGCCCCCCTTGCTTGGAAGAGCCAGGGTCCCCACCTGCTTCACTGAGGGGGCAAAGGCACCAGGGGACCATCAGGCTGCCCCTCCCACCACCGCAGGGACTGCCTCCCTGGATGGGACCCTCAGACCAGCCCCACCCTGCACGTGAAGCTGTCCCTCCTTCACCAGAGCCCAGGGGCCTGGGAGGCCTGGATGTGGCTTCCAAAGATGCCAATGCCAACGGACACACAGAGGAGATGCAGCACAGGGCTTATTGGGGGAGACGAGAGACACAGCCCAGCATCAGAACTCCCGGAGGAAGATGATCGCTCAGAGCCTCGGGTCTGCAGCCCATCAGGCCACAGCCCAACACAGCGCCCCCCAGCAACCCGTGGTCGCCTCGCCAACGCTGCGTACTGCCTTTGATTCCTGGTTTCTCTGTGGTCAACGAGACAGTGAAACCTGCTTTCACGGATAGTCACTGGATGAAGCGAGCGGGCACGGTGCCCATACTGGTGGGGCTTCAAATCGGCAGCGCCTGCCCCGCCTCCAGCTCCCTGGCCAACTCCGACTCCACCACTGTCCTGTGATCCCAGCTCCTCTCCCCTCCCAAAGCGGGCGTTACGTCTGGTGCACAATAGAGGGGACGGTAACTGTCCGTCAGGGGAGACTGAGGCCAAGAAACCTCTCTGCGTGGCCACTGCTTCATCCAGAACGCCTCACAAATACACACCTTGGTTTGCCCTGATTTACTGTTATTCACCCTGGCGAGGAAAGCGTGTAGAAGCAGCAGAAGGAGGACACGGCAGGCTGCTCGTGGGACTGCTCATAAACAAGGCTCCCTAGGTGAGGCCCAAACAGAGAACCTGGGCCTCACCCTAGCCCTGGTCTAGCTCATGCCTCCTGGGGTTTAAAACTCTGAGGAAGAAGGTACAGCAGCCCCGCCGTCCATCCCGCCTCCTTCGCCCACCCTGGGGACATCCCAAGCACTGGAGGACATTCCCACCTACAGGAGTAAAGGCCTGTCCAAGGAGGCACAAATGAAGCCATGGTGACGAAAAGGTGCCAGGGACAGGGCCACCAAGCCAGGAATTGCCTTCATGCCATCAAGCACAAAGGCCAAAGGGTGGAAGCAACCCAGTGTCCAGGAACAGATGACAAATAAACAGAATGTGGTCCGTCTAGACAGCAGAGTAAAACTCAGCCTCAAAAAGGAAGGAGATCCTGCTACCTGCCACCACACAGATGGACCTGGAGGACGTTCCACTCAGTGAATCCAGTCAGACACAAAAGGACAAACACTCACTGTGGGACCCACTTACTGAGGGACACAGAGCAGTCAAGTTGCTGGAGACAGAAGTAGATGGTGGGGGATCAGGGCCTGGGGGAGGGAAGGGGAAGTCAGTGTTCAGTGGGGACAGTGTCTCAGCTGGGGAAGATGATGAGGTTCTGGGCATGGATGGGGTGACAGGTGGACAGTGCTGTGAATGTGCTTAATGCCACCAAGCTGTGCACTTAAAAATGGTTAAGATGGTAAGTTTTACATTATTTGCATTTTACCACAGTTAAAAATAACATTTTTAGGAACTTCCCTGGTGGCGCAATGGTTAAGAATCCGCCTCCCAATGCAGGGGACGCGGGTTTGATCCCTGGTCAGGGAACTAGATCCCACATGCATGCCGCAACTAAGAGTTCACAGGCCACAACTAAGGAGCCTGTGAGCCGCAACTAAGGAGCTGGTAAACCACAACTAAGGAGGCCACGAGCCGCAACTAAGGAGCACACGTGTTGCAACTAAAGGAGCCCACGAGCTGCAACTAAGGAACCCACCTGCCACAACTAAGACCCAGCGCAACCAAAAATAATTAATTTTTAAAAAATTTTTTTAAATAACATTTTAAAAAGCCTTCCAATGAGAAAACAAACTAAGCCAAGCAGGTCTAAGCTGTCCCCAGGGAAACAACCACAATCTGCTCCTCCTCCAGTCTCCCAGAGGGGCAAACCCAAGGGCTCAAAATTTCACACCAGAGAGGTGAGGGGGAGAGGAAGACCCCTCCGCGGACCTCGTCCACATGGCCTGTGAGGTTTCCCGTATGAATCCACTTGCAGACAGGGAGACAAAGGAGCTCAGAGGCCTGATAACTATTTCAGAGCCACAGGACCCAGACCCACACCCGACTCACAATCCTGGGTCCTTGTACGTAACAGACACTCAGTGAATAGTAAGTTAAAGGAAAAGCCAAATGCCCCAAACGTCCTTCTTTGAGGAGAAAATAACGAACGCGTCCGTGAAGCCGTGAGGCCCAACCCGTGGGGAGAGGCCGACAAGCCTCCAGCCTACGGACCCACAGAAAACCCTCCGTAATTTGTCCAGCCCCTACCTCCGTAATTTGTCCAGCCAGTGGCCTCTCACAGCCCCGAGCAGGTGGGTGTCAGCCAAGAACATGGCCCTGAGCACAGGCTCAGGGGTCCCGAGTCCACCGGCATCCGCGGGAGTTTTCACTGCAGGCCAACTGCACCGGAAGATCACTAGGTAATAGATTAGAAATTCACAAAAGACAAGCACAGCAAAGACGATGGCCGTGAGTCTCAGCAGCACCAAGCCCCTCCTCTTCAGTGGACGGAGGTGCTGCCTCCCGGCCCCCAGCCGGGTCGAGGCCGTGTCCTCTGCAGCCATGTCAAATCCACGAGACTTCCCCCAAGGAAACTAGACTCCTGGCCAGGGGCAGCTGGCGCTGGTGTCTTAGCCGAGTACCTGCAGGGAAAGGAAGAGGACCGGGTGATGTGTGTCCCTTAACAAGCCACTGTCACTAGCCCTCCATTAAGAACTAGCAAGTTCCAGAACCCTATCACCTTCCCAGATAAACAGGACTGTCCTGTACTTTCACCAGGACGACCCACCACAGGACTTACAGATAAGGGAAAACAGTGGCTTCCTAGGCGGTCTCTACACCTCCACATGACAGGATAGCGCTACTAGAATGATCTTCCCACCAAGATGACAAAGTTTTTTTACTACTTTAGAAATCATGAGATGGAGGGAGTCTAGGGAAGGATGTTTAAGGTGCAAGATATAACAGGAAAAGTCAACAATTAGCAAACAGGTGCCAGTTGGCTCCCAAAAGGATGCCCACCTACCTCCTCAAAAATCAACAGGCCGTAGCCCCATGTAACAGTGTTGCCTTTGGTGTGAATTCTCCACTTTTCTACACGGCTCTTCCACAGAAGAAGTAGACATTCACAGACAAGGTGTTTCCTCACTGGCTCAGGGTTGGGGTCTGATGCAGCCACAGCCATGAACACCGCGTTGGGTTACACACATTCCCACAAACATGGGTTTTCACCTGCACATCAGCCTTAAACTCTAGATGGCCTTCCTTTATAAGACATTTATGTGCGGTTGTCTCTCTTCGGGAACCTTTCAAATGTTCACGGGTTCATCTGAATCATAGATGAACTTTGCATCCATTTTTGACACATCTGACGAGAATGTTGATGAAAGAGTGGCCTGAGGTGGGTTTTGAGAGGTGGCCTTCCACTTTAGGTTCCTCCACTAGTGCTCAAGACCAGGATTCTACAACAGGCGGTGACCTGGAGGCCACAGAGAGCTCAGACTCGGGAGAAGCCCCAGAAGGCAGGGGGAGCTGTGGAGACACCCACCATGGATCTTAACTGAGCCAATAAATACAGAGTCCTTTCCAGGGGGGTGATTTTCTAGGATGGATCTAGGAACCTTCATATGGTTGACAACCAAAGGGACAAGGACACTCATTCTTTTAGGGCTTAAAACAATCGCCGCAAAGGCCGGCTTCCAGAATGTGCGCACCTGCACCTGTACAAGCCCAGCCTACTCCACAGTGGGGTTTATAACACGCAACTCCTAAGACGTGGAAAAACAGCAAAACCTCACCTAAAAACAAACACGGGCAAACGTGTATGCTGAGCCATTAAACAAAAGCTTAAAACACAACCCAGTGTTGAAAATACCAGAAACAGATCAATGAGGAAGCCGGCTTGCGACGACTGAAATCATGCTGACGGCTGTGGGGCTGCACTGCTCAGGACTCACCTCCACAGGCGGCTTTTTAGAAACGAGGAAATGACGGGCAGGTGCTTCCCACCTCCCCATCCTGTCCCGTGTCTGCCCGCGAACCGCATTGTTTATAGTAAGTACCCGATGGGAGAGGGAGCAGGGCTCAAAGGCTAGATTTTAAACACGTCCCTTGGGACACAGAGGTCACAGGCAGCCGCGCATGTGACCTGGGATCACGGAAGACGCACGACGCACGACACACGACAGCTTTACCCCCAGGTCTGGGCCGTCAGTGATGGGAGCCAGCCCTTCCCCTCTGACCTGGACTGTCCTCCCCACCTGTTTTCTCTAAGGAGAGTGCAGAGTGGCTCTGAGGGTGGTAGCGCCGCCTCGTGACGTGTGGTCACCCGACGCGAACCTCTGCCCACACGGCCAGCGCTTCCTCGGATGGCACGAGGAGGAGGAGCAAGTCCTTTTTGCTGCCATGCACTCGTCACGGTCACACCTCAGGTGTGGACAACCGTCAGTGTGACTCGGGGCACGGACTCTCTGCTCGCTGATAAAAGAGGGAAAAGCGAAGGGACTCGAAGGAGTAACGAACCCTCTCAACACCATCAGCCTCAGCCTGGACTCATTCAAATGGACCAAAACCACTTGCTCTCACTGTCCCATTTCCTTTCAAAGTCCTAGAATCTCCTAAAATCCTAAAAGCCAAGGCCAAAACAGCAGCTGAAACTTGCTAGACCCTAATGTCCCCAACCACGAGGATGAGAGGGAGGGAGCCCCAGCCCTGGGGCTGGTCTGGAGCCTTCCGTCAGCAGCCTTTGCTCTGTGGGTCCCAGTTTCCCAAGAGAAAACCCTAAGGACAAAGTTAAATGGCTCCTCCACACCCACTGCTCCGTCAGAGAACCTTGTTCCCCACGGCATGGTGACAGAGACCTGGGAGCACAGGGAGGTCACACCCCGGGGGGAGGACACAAGAGCACGAGGACAAGAAGAGACACGGTGGGTTTGCACCGTGGGCACGGGGGACCCCTCCCAGCCCGCCCTATGCCCCACAGCTGTCAGCTTAGATAAGGGCCCAGGCAAACGGGTCAGAGGGCACAAGCCGAGCCCTGGCCCTTCCTCAGGCTTCCGTGTTCTTTCTGCCATAAACAAACAAACTACAGGACTTAGAAGGAAGGAGGGGGGGAAGGGGAAGAAAGGAAAGAAGGGGGGCAGCAGGCCAGCCAGAGGCTGTTGAGACACATTTTCTGGAGAAAACCCCAATACCACGTGAACCTGGTATAATGTGATCATTAAAAAAAATAGAACTCACCATCAGAGTGAAAACCATATTTGACAGCTTCTTACACCAAATCTTTCAAACAGAGTTCCTTTTTCTCAAAGCTTGGAAACTGCTTTTCTTCCTCTTTCCAAAACTCACTGTACCATCCATCAAAGTCGTGTTCCTAACGCTGTCTGCAACGTCATGGCCACAGCCCACCCCCTTGACCTTCTGAAGTGAAGGCAGTGTTTAGGGCTGACACGGTGGGGGAACCAGGCCAGGCGTGGCTCTGAGCCCCACGCCAGGGGCCCAGACGTCACTTCCACCACGGCTGCTTTCTACGGCCCTCTGCTGGCTCCTAGCCTGCGGCCAGCCTCAGGGACCTGGCTGCTGCTCACTTCCGGGCCCGGCTCGAGGGAACCTGCAGCCATGGGCAACCAATCACTACCCTGCGGCCGGCGGGGCAGGGAAGAGCGAGACGGAGCAGCCCTGGCTCTTCTTCCGGTGTTGCATCCTCCATCAGATCTGTGAGAATCGACCGCAGCTCTGCTGGGGGACCTCAGCAAGTCCCCGACCCTCCCTGGGCCTCGCGGGGTCAGAGCACCTGCCCCCACTGCACCCGTGGAGATTAACAGAAATGTTCACAAAAGTGTTTTTTTTTTTTTTTAAAGTAAGTCTTTCTATTGTTGACAGTAAAATTAACCAACAGTCGATCTAAGGAAAAAATGGAAAATTTTATTCAAGCCAACCTGGGAGATGCTCTTTTGTTTCTGAGACAAAGAGTCACACATCAAATGTATCACTGACAGTTTACACAATCCAGACCTGCATGTACAAGCAGTGAGTGGTGGGCCGTCACGGTCCCTTACAAGTTGAAGAAGGAAGGTCACCCCATAAGGAGCTGTGACCCTTGATGAGATGAAGAAGGAAGGCCCTCTCTAAGTTAGGAGGGCTGGTCAGTGCAGGTGCACAGCACACACTAAATGGGGGATGAGGCCCAAATGGGCAGAGAAAAATTTTGTATCTAAGGTTTTCTCGCCTTACCATAAAATATGAATTATATTTCATCCCTATGAGGCAGGCTACTCAGGACAAGATTAGCGTCAAGCTCACACCCTGAGGGATTCCCGCAGGCTCGGTCAGTGGAACCCAGCAGGTCCAGGGAAGGAGGGCCAGTGACTGGAGGGTCTGGGAGCCATGGCCGCCAGGCTGACCCTGCTTCTCCATTCATTCACTACGTGGTGCTTCTAACGCTTCACACCTGAAGCCCCCAGACCCTTGCCTCACTAAAAGTAAACCTTATGTTTTATCTCAACCATAATAAAAACCAGTGACTTAAGATCCCCACAGCTGTTAGGGAACCACTGACTGAAACCGCCCGCCCTGCCCAGGGAGGATAATGACCGCTTGCATGATTTATCTTACAACAGGAGGTCCTGATAAGGAACACAGACTGACAAACAAGCTACCAACAGCCAGAAGAATTAGGGAGAGCCCAAAAGAAGGCAGGAGACGCCAGTGTACAATATGTCCTGCCAACCTCTCAGAAACCCTCACGCTGGAAACCATCTTGACTGAGACGCCTGCACTGCCAGGAATTGGACCAAATACAGGCACAAGCAAAATGACTGGCCATAGAGGACCTGGGGAGCTAAACCCATTACCATAAACCCTGAGACTACAAGCATGTGGCAGAGCAGGTCTCCTGGGTTCCCTTACCCTGCTGCTCTCCACCTGGGTGCCCCTTCCCACTAAAGTCAAGTCTTCTGCTTCATCAGTACATGTGTCTCCTTGGACAATTCATTTCTGAGTATTAAAGACCCCACCCTTGGGCCCTGGAAGGGGTTCCCCTTCCGGTAACACAGCCACAGCTTGAACCACCAAATGCTACTGTCCCTTTCATGTCCAGGCTCTCACAAGTGAATGGAGAGAAAACGTGTCCTTTCCTAGACTAAGCGACAGGGGGTCTGGTCCCTCCCAGGCGCAGATGCCACTGTCCCCTCCTGCCTGATCAATAAACACACGAAAAAGATGTGTTTATCCATCTGTATCACCAGCCTGTAAGAGGAGGAAGTGGGAGGTTATGATAAAGACTATATTCTGTGTGTTGTCTTCTTGGGATTAATGATGAATAATTCTGTCCATATTAGAAGCTTTCCTCTGCGTTAGCGGTTTGGGCTCAAAAGGCAAAATTAATAAAATGTTATTGTTTTCACTCCCCAAGTTCAATTTGTCAGTTTTATTAAGCTCAACAAATTTAACCCATCAGGGCTTCCCTGGTGGTGCAGTGGTTGAGAGTCCGCCTGCCGATGCAGGGGACACGGGTTTGGGACACGGGTTTGTGCCCCGGTCCGGGAGGATCCCACATGCCGCGGAGCGGCTGGGCGCGTGAGCCATGGCCGCTGAGCCTGCGTGTCCAGAGCCTGTGCTCCGCAAAGGGAGAGGCCACAGCAGTGAGAGGCCTGCGTACCGCAAAAAAAAAAAAAAAAAAATTTAACCCAGCAGGAAAGCCATACAGGCTCCCGACACAGCTCAGTGTGGCCTCGGATGAAGGGGCAGACTCACAGGTCTAGGACCCCTCCTGGCTTATCTACATGTAAGAGGCCCTGCTGACCCCTACAGGGCTGAATCTTGGTATTTTGATTTCTACTACACACACACTTCTTATTCCTGACAACACAGACGACAACAGTATAAAAACAGCTCAGTAACATCTACTGAAATGGAGCAGGACCCTATGGGGCCCACTCCGGTACAAGGCCTTTCTGTGTGCCCCGTTTCTCGTTTGTAGGAAACAGGCTTCACTCAACCTCCTTGACCTTTCCTGAGTCCCAAAGGGCAGATTCAAACAGTTACTAATCAGGAAAGGGAAGGAATGCAGAGACAAGGAAGTAACAGTCTAGAAACAATAGTGCAGCCTTGGGGCAGGGTCCTCAAGACGCAATAATGACTTTGAGCTCTTTTGCAGAACTAAGGCTCCCACACAGGTGGAGGAAGGCAACTTCAGGCTGAGCACAAGATCCCTGGAGCCCCGCCCTGCTACCTCCCCACCCACCAAACAGAAGAAAGCCACACACCCTGCACCCTCCCCCCAAATGTTGCCTATAAAAACTTTTCTCTGAAGAACCATGGGGAGTTTGGGGTTGTAGAGCAGGAGCCACTTGTCCTCCTTGTACTGGCGCCTTTCCAATAAATACCCCATTTTCCTTCACCACAATCTGGTGTCAGTAGATTAGACCCAAGTTTGGTTCGATAACACTACTATCCCAGAATTTTTCAAAAAGCTAGAAGAGACTCATCACTGGTTTATAAAATCAGTTTGGTGGTTTCTGACCCAAATTTTTAAAAATAAAATAGAATAAAACAACACAGAAAAGACAAGCCTGTAGGGCACACTGTGGAGGAAAGGCAGAGGAAAGCTTTGAGCTCCGTTTTTCTGTACACGTGCCTGTGTGCACTGGCCATGACATCAACAATACTTCCTACTGCACTAGGCTCTCGGCTCCCTGCACAGGAACCCAGCCCATTTATCTTCATGTCCCCCCCTCTCACGCCCACTTGGTGCCTGCAAACAGTAGGTGCTCAATTAATGTGTGTGGACTTAATGGCTTACGTTTAGTTTTATTTATTTTCCCGGGCATTTTAGAATTACAAACACACAGCGTGGCTGTTTCAGTCCATCATCTCTCTTTAAATGCACAACAGTCTACCCTCATCACAGACACAAGAGGGAAAAGGACAGAGGCTGTTCCTGCTCCTCTGAGTGGGAGCCAGGCAGGAACGTAAAGACTGGCAAATGCGTGCCCAGAACCATCCTCTCACCAGCCCCAGTGTGGGACTCAAACAGAGGAAGAGCCCGGGCAGCTCTCTGGTTGGTAGGAAGTGATGACAGTCTTCCCCAGCCTCTTTGGAGTAAACACTTTCTTCTAAAAGGGAAGGACACAGAAGTGCTTGGAGCTCCTGGGGTCTCCCCTAAAGTCTGGGGCCCGGGTGATCCCAACAGCCGGGGAAGCCCACACCCCAGTGTGTTATTTCCCAGCAAGTGATCTCACGCAAGTCACTCAAAACAAAACAAATAAAAAAGGGACAGGATGGTTATTATCAAAAACAAAACAAACAGAAAATAACAAGTGCTGACAAGGATGTGGAGCAATTGGAATCCTTGTGCACTATTGGTGGGAATGTAAAATGGTGCAGCCAATGTGGAAAACAGTACGGTGGTTCCCCCCCCAAATTACACATAGAACTATATGATCCAGCAATCCCACTTCTGGGTACATACCCAAACGTATTGAAAGAACAGACTCAGATATTTGTACACTAATTTCACTGCAGTACGTTTCACAACGGCCAAAAGGTGGAAGCAACCCAAGTGTCCACTGATGGATGAATCATGAATAAACAAAATGTTGCATGAACATCTAATTACAATGGAATATTATTCAACCCTTAAAAAAGGAAAGAAATTCTGATACAGGCCACAACATGGATGAACCCTGAGGACAGTATGCTGAGTGAAATAAGCCAGACACACAACAACAAATACTGTACGATCTCACTTATATGAGCGCCCTTGGACTTCCCTGGTGGCTGGCTCAGTGGTTAAGAATCTGCCTGCCAGTGCAAGGGACATGGGTTTGAGCCCTGGTCCGGGAAGATCCCACATGCCATGGAGCAACTAAGCCCGTGTGCCACAACTACTGAGCCTGGGCTCTGGAGCCCACGAGGCACAACTACTGAGCTCACATGCCACAACTACTGAAGCCCACGTGCCTAGAGCCCAGGCTCCGCAACAAAAGAAGCCACTGCAATAAGAAGCCCACCCACCGCAGCGAAGAGTAGGCCCCGCTCAACGCAATTAGAGAAAGCCTGTGCGCAGCAACAAAGACCCAACGCAGCCAAAAATAAATAAATTTATATATGAGGGCCCTACAGAAGTCAATTCCATAGAGACAGAAGTGGGATGGTGGGTGCCAAGGCCTGGGGTGGGGGTAATGGAGAGTTATTATTTAATGGATGTTGAGTTTCCATTTGGGAAGAGGAAACAGCTCTGAAAATGGATGGTGGTGATGGTTGCAGAACAATGTCAATGTACTTAATGCCACTGCACTGTGCATTTAAAAACGGTAAAATTTATGTTATGTAGGTTTTGCCACAATTTTTTTAAAAAAGAAGACACACACACAGAAGACCCTATAAGTTAACAATGTCCTATAACAAGGGCTTCCTTTTAGATTTAAATTCACTACTTTTATATTTAAAAAAAGAAGAAAAAGTGTTGGGAGCTTGGATTCAGGGGAATATCACTGGGTCATCTTCTCACCTTTTAATGACAGAGACCGGTATGAAGGTTGGCTTGTGCTCCCCAAAATCAGAGCGCCTCTACCTGAAATAAAAGACAAACTGTGTGCTTTGCGGCAGAATAATCTTTCATTCATTAACTATCGTTAAAGCGGAAAATGCATCACCTCCTAGAGGGCACAGTGGCTGCTGCCTCCTGCCCACAAGGAACCCGAGCCACGCTGAAAGTAAAAGACAGCGAGAACCACAGAGCTAACGACCTAACGACCGACATTAGTTACTGGCCAAGAACAGTTCTTTTAAGTTGTAGTATAAATACTTACACATAAAACACGTATACAAGATCGCTCTGTATGGCCCAACACACAACAATAGTAGCTGCAGTCCATCACTGGGAGCAAAATATTTCATCCATTGACTGATTTTTAACTTCAAAGCTATCACTGAATAGCTAACTTCCCTCCCCCCAAAAATTAGCATTAAAACATGCTTAATACTTGTCCACTAATGTTAAATTCATTATTACCACAATGTCATCAGTGGCTGTTTGCATGTTAAATTTTCCATCTTAAATTACATTTTAAATTAAGACGGGTTTTTAAAAATCTACAGCAGCAAACTAGGAAGGGAGCAGCCCCTACGATTTAATACATGGGCCTTAGGTAATGGTAATTTTCCAGCAAATAAATAATTTCCAGTATACGGTTTTCTCAAGAGGTAAACCTGCGTTCCTAAAAGGGCAAGGGGGCTGCAGCTCGCAGGGCCGGTAACAGCAACGAACGGAAGCACCGACGCCTCAGCGCGAAGGTGACACGGAGCCCAGCTGCCTGGCCCCCACCTGCCTGCGCAGCCGCCTGCTCCTGTCCCGGAGGCCCAGACCCGCGCCGGCCTCTGGCCGCGGACTCCCACCGCCGGTCCGCAAGGCGCGCCCCGTGCGTTCCCGCACCAGTCTCAGTGCGCCGGACGTCCCGAACCTGCCAGCGGCGCGACGCTTGCTCCGCAACGGACCCAGCGGGCTGCGGGCGACGAGCGCGTGGGGCGGGGCCCGAGCGCCGTTGGGGCGCGGGGGGCGGGGCGTAGAGGCTCGGGAGTGGAAGCGCAGGGGCGGGGCGCACTGGGGGCGGGGAGTGGGGCGTAGAGGTGCAGGGGCTGGGGGCGGGGCGCGCAGGCGGGGGGGCGGGGCGCGCAGGCGGAGGGGCGGGGCGCGCAGGCGGAGGGGCGGGGCGCACTGGAGGCGGGGGCCGGCGCACTGGAGGCGGGGGCCGGGGCACTGGGGCAGGGCGCGGGCCTGGGTGGGGCGCGGGGAGGGGACGCACACGGGGCGCTGGGCGGGGGCGCCTGTGGCTGGAGACGGTAGGGGCGCTGGGCAGGGGCGCGCACGGCGAGGCGCACGGCGCCGGACCGGCTCTGGGCCCTTCCCCGGGCTCCCGCGGAGGGTGGCTGTGCGGCCGCTCACCTGCGTCCCCGCCTCTCCGGCTGCTGCGCGCCGGCACCGGGCCGCTTTCATCCTCTTCTGCGGGGCCTGGCTTAGCGCCTTCAAGAAACGGGTGCGGAATAAGTGAGACAGACATCACAGTAACTGTTTATTTTGGATTTTCTTTAAAAAATTTTTTTATAACACTATAGCAGGGCGTGTTCTACTTTTCAATATGCTTTCATATCATTACTTCAAATAATCCTCAAAATAACCACGTATATCAAAAGCAAGAATCACTATGTCAAAAAAACAAACTGAAGCTCGGAGCAGTGGTTCAGAGTCTTCCAAACAACCAAGTCCGGTCCGTTTTTCAAATCTATGAGTACAGTGAATGTACTGAGATGTAATATAAGAAGTCGCATACAAAACAATTAGCAAAATTCCTGGTATATGTAAGTAAGCAGTAAGTGGTAATTATTATTATTAATTAAAATATTTGAATATTTTCAAATATGCCCAGATAAACAATTTTAACATCACCAAAACCGGCACAACTGGACTCTGTATGAACAGTGATATGATGCAACAGGAGGTAAGCATCACCTCCAAAGTATTCTCACTAACCGGAAAAGTAAAGGAAAAAAAATGAAATCCGGTTACGCCTAGAACTACAAGCTTAAGGAAATACAGGGACCAAAGGAACATGTTATGCTACACCAGCAGGAGGCGGTCAGCCGAACCCAGAATGTGGGGAGTCTACAGACCAAATGACCCAATTTCTTTATTCAACAAGTAGCATCACGACAAAAGGGAGGAGGGCAGGAGGAGGATCTGTTGTTGCAAATCAGACGGGAAACAAGGCAGCCAAATGCAGTTCCTGGCCTGGGTTGGGTCATGATTGGGACAAACTAACTTCAAAAAAAACACCAAAAACACTTTTTAAAAGATTGGGAAACTTGGACATGGAATGAATGTTAGGTGATACTAAAGAGTTATTGGTAATTTTGCTATGATAATGCTCTTGGGGTTTTTTGTTTGGTTGGTGGGTTGGTTGGTTTTGGGTTTTTTGTTTTGTTTGGCTGCCCGACGTGGCATGTGGGATCTTAATTCCCCAACCAGGGATCAAACCCATGCCCCCTGCAGTGGAAGCTTGGAGTCCTAACTACTGGACCACCAGGGAATTCCCCTGTAGTTTTTTAAGATTAGAGAATCATACTAAAATACTTATAGGTAAATTATATGATTTCTGGAATTTTCTTTAATACTCCAGAAAAAAAATTTACTGTAGGGAAATAGGAGAATAACCGCTATTGGCAAAATGTTGCTAATGCTGAAGCAAGGAGATGGGTGTATGGCACAGTGTTTGGCAGAATAATGGCCCCCAAAGATGTCCATTCCACGTCTCCCAACCTGTGAACAGGTTTCCTTACGTGGCAAAAGAGACTTCACAGATGTGTTGAAGGTTAAAGGGCCATTTATCCATTAGGTGCTGTGAACTGAGTGAGTAGGTACCAGATCCAAAACCCATAGACGATGCTTAGGGCAAAACGATCTGACGAGTTATTCCCACAAACCCCCCAAATGTCAGGGGAGTGAGGATGAACCAGAGATCACTACAAGACCGGGTGACATCAGTGTAGATGCAGGTAGAAACAGGAACAGTAAAGAATCTAATGGACCTGATGACAGGGAACCCCAAATAGCATCAGGTTCCGCAGGAAGCATGGAGAGGAGAGCAGCTGAAAACAGGAAGGATTTTTCTTCGTCCAGCAGCAAGGGGCCCACGGATGGGCCTGAGGGGCTGGAGAAATTCTTCTTCTGGAAGAAGACCCCACATGGAGGGGGACTCCCAGGGTGGGATGAGAATTTTCAGGACATGGACGAGAGACATGGAGGAAAGAAGTGCAGATAAAACTGGGAAAGAGGGAATTGCAGAAGGCAAGCTCTCACACGTTAGCCCGCCGATGACAGCAACAGAAGGTGTTGCGAAAGCTCTCTGAACGCTGCTCCTTTTGGATGTTCAGAAGTAAATTCAGGAATGAGCATTAGGGAAGAAGTGAGGTCAAAAGTTAGCAAAGTTATCATCAGAAAAAAGAGAACAACAAATAGTATAACATTCCTGAAGACGATGAAAGCATGCCACAGAAACATACCCACAAAACAGACCAAAACTGTCACCTACTATTTCAGAACAAACTAAAGACATTCAGAGAATGAGAGACAATGTAAATCAGAATCAGGAGAAATTAGAAATAAAAGAAAAAATTAAGAAATAAAGACTGAACTAAAGGAATGAAAGGAACTTAACAAACAGCACCTTAAGAGAAATGGAAAGTGAAAAGGAGAAAATCTTTATAAATTTAAAAAAAATGAAGAAAGACAAATGAGTGTAAGAGAGGCTGACAAATATTGAGGACAGCCAAGAGCAACCAACAGATAACAGGAGTCCCAGAAGATAAAAGCAATGTGAGAGAACAGTTCTAAAACCTGCAATTCAAGGAAACGTTCCTGAAATTAAAAATAGGCATACTTGAAACATATCGAAGGCAAACACTACGTACCTGAGGCTATGAATTCAGAATGTTCATCACCAAGACATATTCTAGTAAAATTACTGGGTTCTCAATAAAAATGAAAAAATATCTTTGGGCATCCAGGCAAAAACAGCAAGTGAGGGAATAGGATTTAGGTTATCATCAAACTCTGACAGTGTGCTTTATGCCACAAGAGACCAAAGTACATGTACTTAAGATTTTGTAAGGAAAGAAAATGTGAGCCATGAATTTCAAGTATTAAGGTCATAGACCACTGTTATCAACATGCAGGAATTCAGAGAATTCAGTTCCTGTGATTTCTCCCAGAAAACAATCTTCAGACCATCAGAATGACTAGGGAGAGACATTGCTGTAAAGACCGGAGGTGAACATCAAAGTCACAGTGTCATTTGAACTAAGACCAAGTTAGGGTTAAGAGAGAGAGTGGTATGTAATAGCTATACGCTCTGACAAGATAGATGTACAGCTTTTTTTTTTAATGGCGGAAGAATGGAGAACACAAATGCAGAGACAAATTCTTGTTTTCAGTAAGCATTATTGGTAGCAATATTATTTGTAGTGTCCTTCTAACACTCTTGCATGTATAAGAGGGGATAAAGCAGATTAGTAACTATGGGATATTCTATCAGTGCCTGATGAAAAATGATTATGATTCTTTCATGACTTTTGCTCAGGATATTATTGGTTCTTTAATGTTTTCGAGATTCAGGGAAACTTTTTCTCTCTTAAGCTATCTATAATCTATCCAACTTGGTATATTATACTTTTATAAAGAGAAACAAAACAATCCAGAAGTAGACCCAGAGCTTCTAGGATTGGTTCATTGCGTTTCCAGTTCATATTAGACACAGCGATTTTCTTAAATCCCTGCAGGTAGAACTAGCCGGAGCCATCGGTGTAGAAACACTGTCGTCACAAGCAGAGGAGAGCAAGGATTAAAGTACCCACAGTTGAAGCAGCTGCATGGAGCTTGGAAGAGCAACCAGTTGGAACCAAGCCGAGAAAGCAGTGGACCCCGCATCTACAGGGAAGGCCAGGTCGCGAAGGCCAGTGTCCACACCGCCACAGGGGGGTGCTCCCAGGACAGTGGAGAGGTCAGGGGCTCAGCACCTCTGCAGGCTGGATAGTGGTAAGAGAAACAACTGATATGGGCAACGAGACCAGGGCCAAGTTTTGAACCCCAAAGGCCAGGTCCCAGACTGCACCCTTGCTGTCCCTCTAGGCTGCAGAGGCCCCACCAGATAGGCTAGTGACAGGGTGTTCCCAGCCTAGCACTCAAGAACCACAAGGGCCCTGAGTTCCCGGGCAGATGTCTTTCCTCAGAGCACATCACCGTCCTCTGCCACGACTGGAGGTGGGGAGTTTGCCAACAGAAGGATATTCGTAGAGCTGTTTCACTCATGCTCTTTCTTCTGGACACACATCAGATTCTCCAGAAATGGTTTTTGTTAATTAGAAAAGGAGAGGGAAAGACAGACAGACGGAGAGAGGAGGAGGAGGGGGAGGAGAAGGAAAAGAAAGGAGGAGAAGGAGGAGTAAGAGTGGAAGGATTAAAGGAAGGGAAAAGGGAAAGAACTGAGAGACAGAAAACTGAAAAAAAAAGAAAGAAATGGAGGAAGGAGAAAAGGGAGGGAGGGACATCATTCTGGTGGGAACACGTGCGCGCACACACACCCACACCCACACCCACTGTGATCAGCCTAAAGAAATCCGCTATTTTCAAACTACACCTATTATCTTAGCCCTTCCTAGAGCATCCTTTAGGGTAAGAGCAGATAATGGCTGGGATAACTGCATGTTTTGGTTTAAATTATTTTTATCTCTAGGGTCAACTATACTTTGCTTTTCCCTGAAACATAATCTAAAAGACAGAGGGTCTCAAGGCAAATAATTGTCGGTCAGAAAAAAAAAAATTGTCCGTCAGAAGTAGTAAAGGTGATCAGGTCGTGAACTAACTAGCTTGCAGCCAATTACTTCATGACCGGATGGAAGGACTATTAATGTCCCCAGCAGATGGCGCGAGCTGCCCTCTGCCGAATGAGACTTCGCACCCTGGGCTCCATTTAGTGTCAAAATAGGTTTCCTCTTCACGTGATGGTCAAAACAGTAGCCCCTAACCAGGTAAGTTTGGGTTAGGAAATAAATCGTTCAGCAGAATTCCAGGGGAAGCTGAGTAGGGAAGACAAAATCTGGAGGCTTTTACATTTGTTTCTCATGTTAAACTGTTTAAAAACACGCACTGACCTCACCGATAATACTGTTTCATTCACATCATCTGGGGCTCTGAAAAAGTTAAGAATTCTTCCAAGACAGAGTTTTAAATTAAGTCACAAAGGACAACAAAGTACTAAGAATTAGGACATCTGAAAGTATTGTTATCTGGTAGGATAATTGGTGAAGAGCTCATAAATGAGGAAAGCTTTGCTGTAACAAATGAAAGATAAACCAATTCTGAAGGAAACCTCAGGACAGGGAACGTTGACTAGGGATTACTGGGATAAATCAATGTTTCTGCTGCTTCGCTGGTTACTTACATTCTGACCTCTGGGCTGTGCGTTTTTCAACGAGCGAGCACACAGCAGAATGGAAAGCATTTACATCTCTGGACAAGAGGCAGGGAACATAACATGTTTTCTTTGGAATCATCCTCAAATATGGGACAGAAAGTAGAGCTTTATTAATCAAGTTCTTAAACATCTGTCTTCACAAGTTTCCAGAGAAAGAGTTTGGAAGTTCAAGTCTATGACTAATTTCCAGTGAACAGTGGAGCCCCCAGCCCCTGCAGCCTCCCTTCCCGCCCATCCACCGATATTTTAACTCTCTGCAGCTGCTTTTGCTGTCAGCCCGCCACGAAAACTTTACTTTCCAAAGACATTTTAAATGTAAAAGTAATATGTTAACTGCAAGACGTTTGAAAACACTGAAAGGTATAGAGGAGAAATTACCCACAATTGAGTAGACATTGGCTTGTATCCAGTTGTGGCAGCAAGATTTCGAGTCACGTGCTGTGTTATGTCTGCTTCGACTGCTCTTAGTCTGTTTGATGGGGTCAGGGCGCCTGATTTGCTGGGATTGGAAGTCTGATGCATCAGGTGGATAAGAACACGGACGTGTGCAGGGGGAGTCTGCCCTCAAGGATTATAAACGTGCCCTGTGGAAGTGTTTGAAAGAAGCAGGTACTCCATTCATAATTACAGCTTGAATTATCTACCGTAACTTGGTCAAGTTTAGAAATGCTGTTGTTTGGGGGAATTTAATCTGTCAAATGTATATACAAGCTGAGCATTGATTACAGAACTGTCTTCGGACTTGCTGACATTATCAGGCCATTGACTAGATTAGCAAGACTCATAAACTGAACATAAAGCTTGAAGAACATTTGGTTTTGATTTTATAATTTTAGTTCATTAAGGACTGGTAAAAAAAACACCAGGTTCTTTTCTTTTCTGAGCATAACACCCCCTCCCCACCAAACACTCAATGGACAGGCCTCTGGCCACAGTTTCGAAAAGCAAAGGACATGCAGCTGCTCAAACTGCAGAAAAGGCCAAAGCTCTTTCTTCCTAAAGACTGTAGGATTTTTTTCTGATTAATACAATTTTTGGAATATTTATGTAACAGTAGTGTTTTCCAATGGGTGTTTTTCCACCCAAAAGGGCGTTTTGGGAGAGAGCGAGCGTTCCCTATTCAGTTCCTGGAACAGCTCAGCGAGTTCTGCAGATTCTCACCAGCTTGTTTTTCTCTTCTCATCAGGCAAGGATGCAGTGTGCCCTCCCTGGACCCCTCTGATTCTTCCCATCCGGTTAAGGAAAGACTGATGACAGGGCCCCGGGGACAAGCCGTTTCCATGGTTCCCAGACTTCTGGATTCCAGACGCCAATGACAGCTCAAAAAAAAAAATTTTTTTTTGGGTGACCTACATAGATTTGTCAACCATTTATGTGGCCAAGTGAGAGGGAAAAGCAAAACAAAATCTGCCATCTCCCATCAGAATCATTTTATTACAGAAACCTTTTTTCACCCAAATACAGAAAGGACATTACCTCAGCTAAAGACAATGTTTTGCATGGAATATACTTAGCTGGGTGGACATCTCCCGGGCTTGGCCGTATTACTGTCGTGTGGGTGTGACCATCTCTGTGGGCAAACTAGTGCCCAGCTTGGAATTTCGGACCCAAGATCCAGCTGCACGTGGCCCCCGTCACACCCGCTTGGGGCTGGGCAACCTGTGCTCACATGGCCCAGCTCATCGCCCACTGCCTGTCACCCACGCCCAGCTCTGCTCCCGCTGTGGCCTCCCCCGGGCCAGCCTGGCTGCCTGGTCTCCTTGCCTGAGTCGGCAGAAGCATCAGCCTCATTCTCCTTAAAGCATCTGTGCCCCTTGATTAATGTGCCTTTCAAATGATTACTAAGTCAGCATTATTTTAGCCTCCACAGTTGTCACTGGGCCAGTCCTGAGCCCAGAGATATCACTTGAGCCCTTCCATTCTCCAGGGAGCAGAAAAAAGAAGGTCCTGCGTTTCCTGGGAGGAAACTTAGTAGGATTGTGCTGTTTCTACCATCTTTCCCAAAGAAAATGTGAAATAAAGACTTCCACCCTATATAGAAGCACCTCCTAGTCTCAGACCACAAGCGTTTTCCATGTGTTAATCATCTCATGCAGCGCTGGAGGCTTTTAGACACCCAGATATTCAAGCTTTCTGAAGAGCTACCCAATGCATTCGATGACTAAATGGAAGTTATATTAGTTTTCTATAGACTGGGAAAGATTTCTTTTTTAATTTGAGTCCAATATCCTTTACCTTCCTTTAAAGGCTTTCAATTTGTATGTGAATGTTTCATAGGACCTCTGATGATTAGAATATTGATAACCATAATTGGGCAAATACTTAAGACATATTCATTCATTCAACAAATGTTCTTAAAGCACCTACTACGTGCCAACCACAGCACTGGCTTTGGAGATACAATAATGAAAACCCATTCTTTTCCTCAAGGGCTTAGGAATTTTAGTCCGGGGAACAGACATGTCAACATAAAGAGAAGTGCTCAGGGCTTTCCTGGTTCCCTGGGCAGGTCCAGAGCAGCGTAAGGGAGCGGGCATCACCAGTTCCACCTGAGTGATGGGGAGCAGCTTCCCAGGGGCAGCAGACACTGGGGTGGGGGGGGTTGCGGATGGTGAGGGCCGTGGGGGCCACCCGAGGAGTCTGGGCATCCTCAGGGAAGGAGGGCAGGGAGGCTGTGCTGCTTACTGGTCTCCCAGCTCAGAGCCATCTTCTCAGCTCTGCATTTTGACGCGGGGCTAAGACTATGCAGGTCCCTTTGCCAGCTGGCTCCCTGCTAGGCTCCACCAGCGAGAGGCCTGGAGGAGCTGGGCAGCTGGAGGAGGGAGCAGGGCCTGCTCGCCTACTGGTCTTGACAGCACTGCACCCTGAACCAGCCTGCCCGCACCTGGCAGAGGTGGCAGCTCCCACAGGCAGCAGTCTTGCCCCCAGCGCCTCTTGGCCGCAGCCCCTGGCACCCCTCCCTCCCAGCAGGTTCTGGCAACCCCAGCTCTGAGGCTGGGAGCTGCTTCCTGCCTTACTATCTCTGCGGCCTCAGTTCTCTTTTTTTGCCTTTTTACCTGCTTATCCAATTTCTTTTATTCAGTTCTCTCTGTTGAAATACCCAGTGTTGTTTCTGTTGTCCTGACCGACCATGATTGATGTCATGCTGGGAGTGATGGTCCAAGAAAGCAGACTCACAGGTCAGGCCACGGGACTGATGTGGGCAGGGCAGGCCTTGAATGCAGTGCCAGGCTCCTTGCTGATGAGAAGCGGCCCATGGTGGCTGCGCATCACTATCAGTCAGATGATCACCCGTGGTTCGTTGTGATGAAGCATTGACTGGCCTGTCTCAAGGACCAAGAGGCTGTGGCCCTTGACCATTAGGGCAGCAACGAACATTCCTGGGTGGTAGCTGGGGGGGCCTGCAGCCATGTTTAAGAAGGAAGCCAGCATGTGAGGGCACGCCTACAGGAGTGGAGATTCGGACTCTCCTGCAAACTAAACTCAGTAACTTCTTGGTTTGAACATGTGTGAGAAAGCTCATTCTGAAATGCCCTTAATCACGTGTTAAAGTAAATAACTTTTGGAGCATGCCGAGAACTGAACAAGATACCCCAGGACGACCCGCCAGAGCACAGTTGGACGCTAACCTAAGCAGCTTTAAGTATCAGAGAATCATAACACCTGCTCCTCAGTCCAGGCACCTGCTCCACACTCGCAGTTACTCTCTGAGAGCAAAACGGAGGGGTTTACTTTGACCCCAGTTACAATTCCCTTTGCCAAGCCGTCCACAAAAGTCCCTGAGGCCTTATTCTGTTATCTACTGTGAGTTACCTCTTTGGTTTGTCAGCTCAAAACTGACACATGCTTCTGTTCGTTCAGTTCTAAAAGCAAGTGCCTACTAGATTCAAAGACAAAGAAAAGCAAATAATTGCATAATGTGTCTAGGTCTGCAGCCAGTTGGGGAGTTGCCGGGACCTAGGGGCCTGGGAGGGGCCTGGGGAGGCCTAGGAGTGGAAAATTACTGATTCTGAGTCAGAGGAGAGGCAAGGTCTTCAAGGCCCCCAGACAAGGTGGTCTTGGCAGAGACCCTGAGAAAGGGGATGGAGGTGCCTGGGCCGGGCTCACAGATGTGCCCAAAAGCACGGCTGGGGAAGTGGGTGGGGAGGCTTCTGAGTCTTGGGCTGAACTCCCTCCAGAAAATGGCAGCACGCTGGCCGAGTCCCAAGTCCAGTGCAGGGAGGGCAGACCCCACCCCTGTGAGACCTGCCAGGTAAAACTCTGTAGTTGCCTATGGTCAGGTCTGAAAACTCACACATGTAATTTTGACCTGGAGCCAGACTCCTCGGAATAAAGTTAAAGTAGGACATGATTTCTCAACCCCAGGGTTATTAGCCTTTTGCGCTGAACAATCTTTTGCTCTGGTGTGTGTGGCGGGGGGAGAGTTGTCCTCTGCACTGGGGGATGTTTGACAGTTTCCCTGGCCTCCATCCACTAGGATCGTCTCGTGCGTCTCGGCACACGGTCAGCGTGGAGGAGGGTGGATCCAGATGACGGGGGTTGTGGGGGGTGTGGGGGCCCACCTGAGGTTAAGAATGGCCAGACGTCATACTGGGATTCAGATGAGATGAAACAAACAACAAACTCATCAAATGTCCAAACCAGCCGTCGTGGCCCTGGGAAATAAGATCAAAGTAACTTGGGGAGGTAGAGAAGTAGGTAGAAGAAAAGAAAACTTGGACATTTTATTTATTTAGACTTTGCTTTGTCCCAGAAAAGACAGGAGGGAAGGGACTCCCAGATTAATAAGGACAGAGGGGGAGGCATAAAGGAGACAGTCTCTCCTGAATGCCCTCCCACCTCTCACCGCACCCCCGCCTTTGGCCCAGCTTGGGCACCTTGCATGCCACCTCCTGATAACCAGAGCATCCACCTAGGCTGCACCCTCAGGTGGGGGTGGGAAGGGGCAGTTAGGAAATCGTTTTCCAGGGCGGAGCCCGGTACTCTAGGGGCTACCAAAGTTACCGTGGTTCCCCAGGGCCCCTGGAAGAGGCAGCGAGCAGACTGGCATACAGGGCATGATGGTGAAGGAGCATTTCACGTTTCCACAGCGAATCACCATTAAAGCACGGGAAACTTGGATAATCCATTAGAAAAGGCTGATTTCAGTATTCAATGATTAGCATATTTATTAAGCACCCATTATAGCTAAGCAGTATGGTGATCACCTTAGGGTACATTGGTGAACAAGTCTTTAATAACAGAGGTGCCAAATATTCACAACAGCCAAGCCATGGAAACAACCTAAGTGTCCATCAACAGAGGAATGGATAAAGAAGATGTGGTACATATGTACAATGGAATATTACTCAGTCATAAAAGAGAATGAAATAATGCCATTTTCAGCTACATGGATGGACCTAGAGATGATCATACTAAGTGAAGTAAGTCAGAAAGAGAAAGACAAATACCATGTGATATCACTTATATGTGGAATCTAAAATATGACACAAATGATCATATCTACAAAACAGAAACAGACTCACAGACATAGAGAACAGACTTGTGGTTGCCAATGGGGAGGGGGCTGGGGGAGGGAAGAACTGGGAGTTTGGAGTTAGCAGATGCAAACTATTTTATATAGAATGGATAAACAAGGTTTTACTGTATAGCACAGGGAACTATATTCAATATCCTGTGGTAAACCATAATGGAAAAGACTATATATGTATAGCTGAGTCACTTTGCTGTACACAACACTGTAAATCAACTATACTTCAATGAAATTAAAAAAAAAACAAGAAGTACCAAGCACATGTATGTTAACCCGTATAATACTTACCAAAAATATTTTACAGTTGAGGAAACTGAGTCAAAAGAGGTTATTTGTAACTTGCTCAAATGCACACAGCAAGGAAGGAATGAGGCCAATACTTAAAGTACTTAGGAAACCTGGGGGCACCAAACTTCACACTAGTTAAAACCACATGATTCTGCCTTAAGATTTTTGGAAGTTAGGCAAGGAAGTTACGGTCTTTTTCTCTAGATGTGTGATAGGCTGGACTCCATGTGAGTTTATCTGAGCCCCAGGTTGGTCCGGGCCGGGGTTGGGAGTGGGGGTGTGTTCAGAAAGGGTAGCTGAGAAGAGGCCAAAGAGAAATGTCCTAACTTCCTAATTTTGCTTTGTGCTGGGAGTAATCTCTAATGAAAACCTACCATGAGGATCAGCAACTGAATACACTTAATTTTAAAATGAAGCATCCGAAGCGCAGTCTTAAGTATTTTCAGAAACCAACTCCCTATTTGACAATCATGAAAAATATGAACAAGAAAGATGGAGCGGAGCCTGCCCTTGGCTGCCCCAGTGTGGCCGGGCGGAGCGGGCAATTCTCCGCCAGTTTCCCCACGTGTAGGGCGAGGTGGCCGAGCGACCCTAACACACTCCGTTTCCTGATTCCTCCTTGTTGTTTGTATTTCCACCAGTCTCTCGTTCCTACACCTAAAGCCTCTCTACCAGGTGTCCAACGCACGGTCGGCACAGACGAAGGCTGACAGTGTGAACAGGGTCCCGTCGGGGTGCAAGCGGTCAGCACTTGTTACAGGGCGGGCCGGGCAGCTCCTGAGCTCCTGAGCTCCAACTGCAGGAGGACCGCCGCCCGGTACTCGCGGTGAGTGGTACCCGCGGCCAGCGTCGCCCAAGGTGCTGCCCGGCCGGGTCCGCGCGGGGGACGCTCCTCGCTCGCGGCCACACCCTCGGGAAAGGCTCTGAGCTCCGCGAGGGTCCGACCCGGGCCCCTCTCCCGCCACGCGGCCCTCAGCTTCCCACAAGCTGGACCCAGCTTCAGCGGGGAGTCGGAGAGGCGGGGCCCGGCGCTGTGGGGGCGGGGCTCATCGCCGGTCGCGCAGGGAGAGGGACCCAGGGAGGAAAGGAGCGGGTCTCGGCGCGGGGCGGGGTTTGCGCAGGAGGGCGGGTCAGGGAGGGGCGAGGGGCGGGACGGGACGCTGGGCGCTGCTCCAGGGCCAGGGGCAGCTCCAGGTCCGCTCCCCGCCAGCTCCCGGTCCCTCGCAAGTCCTCACGGGCGGGCGAGCGCGGCCCAGGCGCGGAGCGGCGGGAGGCACCGGCGGGCCCGCAGGCCGCGATGAAGCCGAGCAGCGAGGACGGGGCGGCGCAGGCCGGGGGCCCGTGGGAGGAGTGCTTCGAGGCAGCGGCGCAGCTGGCGCTGCGGGCTGGACAGGTGAGCGCGGCCCCGGGCGCACGGCAGGCGCACTCGGACTTGGGGCAGAGCGGACGCAGGGCGTTGGGCGGACGGAGACCCAGAGGGCCGGGCCGGGACCTGGGGGCGCGAGCCGCGGAGGAGCTCCGCGCAGCCTACCGCACACTGTGCACCTGCCACGCCTGCGCCGGGACGGGCGCCCTGGATCCCGCGGCCCGGAGGCGCGGGCCGGGCTCGGGGCGCAGGGCGGCCTGGCGGGAGCGGGCGGGTCAGGGCGCGCGGACTGCCTCGGATTTGAGCCAGTGGGCGGGACACGGTGCGGTTGCCCCGGGTTAGAACCCCTACGCGTGGAGGTCGGGCGGACAGCCTGTCCTCG